AGGACCAGGCACGGTGCCAGCTACCCGGGTAAGCTCAGGAGCGGGAGGGACGCGGTGGGGACTGCCGGTAGACAGCCACGACTGTCCCCAAGCGAGGGGCTGTGAAAGCTTGGCCTTACACCCCCGTTTGGGTGGGATACCTGTGCACAACACACCGGGCCCCAGAGGCAGGGAAAGGTGCCAGACCAAAGAGGCTCCAGCTGGGAGAACGGAGGGGCGACGCTGCGAGACCACCAGCCTCCTGCGACCACCACCCTGAACTGGCAGACCCCGCGCCCTGCCTGCGCTGCCGCTAACCCCCAGCTGGGGAAGAAAGCCAAATCCCTCCCCGCGCACAGCCACGTCTCTCTGAGCTGCCAGTGCTTGCAACAGCCTGGGCAGAGGGCTCGGGAAATAAAGCATTCCGCAAGCCCGGAGCTGCGAACCTCCTCTGGGCTGGCAGTGGCAGGGGTTGCTGCTGGGACACACACACGCACCGGCTCTCCAGCCCAGGACAGTACGGAAAGCCCTTGGAGCAGAGAAACACGAGGGGCATGGTTGCCTTTCCAGATCCCACTGGGGTCCCCTCCTCTCAGAGGAAGGGACAGAGACCACTACTCTATAGCCAGAAGAGCCTCAGAAGAGAGACACAAAAGATTGGCATGCAGGAGAGCCACAGAGTCAGGTGGGGTATCCCCAGGAAGGGATTTCCTCCCCCTTTCAGTGGCTGTTGAACGGATCGTGCCCGGTGGATCCAGCGAGAGCCCTCAGCCCTCGCTGTGCTCACGGTAAAAGGCCCAGGGACAGCTCTGAAGATGGAGTCTGACATTCCCTATGCCACAGCACTACTCCGAGATGTAATTCCTCTAAACTGAAATGATCTTCCAGAAAAACAGACCTGTTCAAATTAAATTCTCGGTAAGAGCTTCCCGAAGTCACCGAGGGCTGGCCCTTGAGGAACGGGCACTCACAATTTGTCTGCCTCCAACTTCCAGCCACAGAAATCTCCTGGACTTTCAGTAGTAGGGAGAAGCTGATGCAGCGCCACAAAGGCACAGGATCCCAAAGGTTTAACTGATCCCCGAGCCTCCGCAATCCTCTCCCGCCTCTCCCAGAGTGCTCTGGAGTAGATCCCAGCGCAACGCCCGAGCGTGGCACCAGCAGGGTCCCCCCTTCGCACGGGGCCCTACCGAGCGGAGACCCGCCCTTGCAGCGAGCGGGCCCCTTGCTGCTCCGGCCGAGTCAAACGCTCCGTCATCGCTACATCCCCCACGGAGCCAGCCCGGCACTGAGAAGCTGTCATTTCTGCTGGAAGCCTATTCCACCGATTAATCCATTTCCTTTTCAGGAACAACCGCCCCGTTACCTGCGCACGTCTGCCTGCCTGCAGCTTCTAACCACTTGTTACTGCTCTGCTTTTGACCAGGGAGCCTTTCAGACCTGGCTCCTTCACCCAGTTCCACGCAGTGTGCCACCTCACATATGGTTAAGTTGGACAGACTTAACCTCCCCTCCAAAGTCACTCTGAATTTCCTGTATCTTTTTGTAGAGAAGGCCCAGGCACCAGAAGGGGACCCTTGTTCCAGTATTTGCCTCATCAAAACCACGCACAGAGGTCAGACTCGTTCCCTGTGCTCTCTAATTCTCCCCTTTCGCTAAGGAAGATTCATTGCGCTGTCCCAAACAGCAAACTTCTTTCTAAAACGAGTGTTCCCTGGCACGCACCACTGCTCGTCCCAAAGAAATCTATGGTCCCACAACGACTTCTATAGCCAGTCCCTCGCACCAAGGAACCGAATGAGACTTCCTCGCTAAGCCCTGTTCCTCAGCAGCTTCTGTTTCTGGCAAACAGCTTCTATCCCACTGAGTCCCCAAAAGCAGCAGCTTGGTGGCAATTCCGGAGACAGAGCGCTTCCAGAACGACAAGGGGCTGCTGCACGCTTGGAGGTGGCGAAGCAAACATCTGCCTCCTGTCTCCTTCAGCCATGGTCCCTGCCTCAGCCCTGCCGCCTTGGGCCAGAGGAGGGGAACGGGGGGGACAGGAGGCAAAGCAAGGGCTGACCCATGCTTGGGGCGTACCGGGGTACTGCCAGGGAGGGGGTTTTGGGACTCGGACAGGGTGAGGTGTGGGTGGGCTCTCACCTCCTGGCATAGTCGTACAGTGCTCGCTTCCGCTCCTGCAAGGACAGATGCCGCTCCACAGGGGACTTTGCAAATTGCTTTGTAGCCGGCTGGAACAGAAAGCACAAGAGCCTTCAGGAGACAGTCAAAGCAAGCCAGGAGACCTCCTCAGCAGCTCCGCAAGGACCCAGCATGCCAATTCGGTCTCCAGTTTACAATGCTCTGTGTTCCCCTGACTTCATGGCCAGTCCTGAACACAGGCCATCACGCTCTGGCTGCAAGCCATCGAGACCAGAGGAGGACAACACAACCACCAGAAGTACCTTGGAAGAAGGCACAGCTACGGAGCCCTGGATGCCAGAAGCAGCTGCAGCCTGAGAGGTAGACGGGGCAGGCAGGTCAGTACCAGCCTCCCTACTTTCAGGGAAGAAGGGTACTCTCCCCTCCAGCAAGTTGGCAATGGTGGTATCCACACAGCTGGTTTGGGCTGTAGGGACAAAGAGGATCTGTTAGAGAGGATGCTGCTACATCAGGGCACTCCCGTCCTTGCTGCCACTGTGCTCCACAGTGCAGCAGGGACAAGGTCTCTGCTTTCAGGTATCGGAGAGACTCGACACTGAAGGTGATGCCACATCCCTGCTAACGCCCCAGGCATCGCTTACCCAGGTCTATCCTGATGACCTCCAGAGGCACATGAGGCAGCACCTCCTTGACCCGCTGAGCCATTGCCGTGATCCGCACATCCTCAGGAGCAACACCAGTCAGGCTGGAAGGCATCCTAGGCCTGGCTGCCAGGGGCTGGCTTGAGGCTGCAGGAGAAAGAACAGTGGGCACAAGAAGGTGGCCTAAAGGCACACAGCATTCAAGTTGCAACAGCTCCATTTTCTCTAGTAAGAACTGGGTGATAACAAAGCTGGACCTCCTGCCCACCGCCATGTCCGTGCTCAGCAGCGCTGATCTTCTCCCTGCCAGCTAGCACACCGGCAGCCCCTGCTGCCAGGAGGACATCGAATGTGCCTTCTTCTCTCCCTCCATGCACGAGCAACCAAGAGTGTACTGCGGCCTCCCCAAAGGCACAGCCTGAGCAGCAGCCCCGTAGTCAGGACACTCACCAGGACACCTACCTGGGGCAAAGGGGAGGAGCGACGTGTGTCTCAGCCTCTTCATGTGTTCAGTTTTATCTGCTGCAGTGAGCCGTGTGGATACCACACCCAGCTCCATGGCCAAGAGCTGCAGAAACGCAGAGAAGAGGCACATGTACCCGACACACAACATGCGTGACCCAGGCATTCCCGTCTCACAGGGGAGTGTATCAGATGTACAGGCCTGCGTGGAGCCACGGCGAGGGGAGGAGGACTGGGAACTGATTTCTCCAGGGCCTCAGTGATGCATTTCAATGTTGCATGGAGCACATGAAGGACCAGGAGTAGGCAGTATCATCCTGCCAAAACAGGCTGACAGGGAGATACGAGGTCTTTGGTACAGGAGCTACGAAGTACCCAGCACATAAGGGCAAGGTGGAGAAACAATTGCTTTATTTGATTTGTGGTATGATGAAAAGGGAGTGAAAGGTTTGAAATAGATGGGGAGAGCCTTGATAACTGGCAGGAAGGACAAATGGGGGGTAGCAAATAGGCCATGGAAAAACTGAATAATTATAAGGGGCAACAAATACGGGCCAGAGCTCCCATCGTACAAATACACCCATCCAGAAATGCCCTTTGCAACTCCGCTTGCACCCCGCTCTCCTCTGTGACCATCCCAAATTGCAGCAGTCCTACACATCCCTCTCCCACATCATCCTCCTACCTCCTGAACTCGGAGCGCAAAATCCTCACTCAGTTCTTCAGCTCGTCTGGGGACAGACGGCATCCACCTGAATGGGGACAACAGCACTGGGCTGACTGCTTCAGGGGCTGCTGGAGGAGCCAGCCCCACCTGGGATCAATAGCGCAACGTGCTATCCCCACCTCAGCTCTCCCTGCTCACCCCAAATCTCTCCCCACCAGACAGTGTCAAACCTCAACACTAGCTTACACAATTCAGGGCAAGGCACGGCTCGGAAGACAGAAGCAGCTCATTGAATCTTTATTGGCACTCAAGCGTAACTTGCAAAGTATCTCCTAATTAAGTTCCCAGAAAGGCCCCAAATGAGGAGACACTGCCATTTACATGAGAGAAGACGACAGATCAGCAGGACTCAAGCCAGATACAGCCAGGGAAAGCTATAGCAGACGACTTTTCTTTGCTGAAATACCCTCACGCCTAAATTTGGCTCCAAGCGCCCCCTGATGCCTATGGACCCTCATTACACCAATGCTACTCAGCCAGTCTGGGCTCACCTGGGCCCTAGACAGTGTCTGAACCACCTCTGCAACTCGCAAGGGGTTGCAGGGAAGAAACAGACGCTAGGGGACTGAGCTGCCTGCAGGGAATCACCCACGGGACCTGAGCAACCCTGGGGTGAATTACAGCAGAGCAGCTAGCTTCAAAAATATACCCAGCAAACTCGACATAGAAGCCCTGGGAGACTCTCCTCCTTCACCAACCGCATACAGGAACCAAGAGCCCTCTCCGCTTCAGAAGCTGGTCCAGAAGCTGGACCTGGCATGGACCAAATAATGCTGAACAAAGCCATGCTCAGGTACCACAATGAGGGCGCGCATTAGCACATACCAAAATATCTCTCTCTACAACAGCAAAAACCTCAGGCTCTCTGCCCACCCTAAACCCAGCCCCAAATGGAAGAGAGAGAGAGAGATAGTACCTTACTTGATAAACTGTGAAGGGAACAAAGAAGGTCCAGAGCAGCTCTGTAATCCAGGAGGAGTCAGCCACGCTCTGGGGAAGAGAGCACAGTGAGATCGCAGCCCACAAAACACGATCTAGTCAGGCCTCCATCCGGGAAGCAGGCGGACAGAACGCAGCTAAGCCATGGCAGCGAGTAACAGGTACACGGGCAGGGAGATGGGGAGGACTGCGGAGGAGGGAACGGCAAACCCAGCGCACAGTGAGGGCAAGCTCCAGGGCAGATTCACCCTCATTAGTCTTCACCAGACAGAGCAAGAGAGTCAAAATTTGCACTGCTCCAAGTCATCCTATCCTCCCACTAGGGCAGCAAGGTTTTCCTTCAATATCCCCACGTTCTCTACTAGACGGAGCCTTTAGAAAGGACCGAAAATGCCTCAAGACCTACTAATGCTTTCTTGGAACCGTGAACAATCCCCCCTTGTTCTGACGGGAACTGCCCATGTAACATCTCAACTCCCGAAAGCCTCATCTCTTCATTTCCCAACGGGCTGCACAACTCTTCTCTTTGAAGATCCATCATTAAAGGCGAGCTGTGATTTATTACTTTCTTCCTATTTCTTCCCCAAGAGGTACTGTGATGCCTGCCAGAAGAGAGCACCGGAATGGGTGCTCCGAAGCGGCGGGCTCTCCATCCCCCTCAAGGGAAGGCAGCCCCGAGCAGCTGGACCGTACTCAGAAGGCAGTCTGCCTGTGAACAGGAAGATGACCTGGAGACCTCCAGAGACGCCCCCCAACCCACACTTCTCAATTATTCTGAAGAATTTGCTATTGAACGGACGTTGTTCCTAGGATTTTTGTAGCTGGCTACTTTTATCCTGCAGCGACCAAACTTTCCACAAGCTGGTGAGGACACTGTCTCGAGATCTGCAGCTCGCATGCAGCTGCCTCGGCTTCTTTTACACATGACTTCATCCTTGACCAAAGCAGCGTGGCTCCAAGGCAAGCTTCATGCCGGGTTTATTCCATGGCCAGGGAAGAGGTGCTGTAAATGATAAACGCCCAGAAACCACAGCCACCAAGCGTGACATAAAGCAGCCTCATCTCCCGGGTAGAGAGATCTAAGAAACCTAAACCCAAATGCCTTAGAGCGATGCCAACAGCCAGACTTCAGTCATGCTGCCCTGTGCCACAGAACAACACCCTCCTTCAAGGCTCCAGCCGATTAGATCTGGAGGAAATTCTTTCTTTAACCCACATTCCGTGGCTTGCTCAGCCCACTGTCCAACACACATCACGTCCATGTCTGAGCAAGCTTTCTGTAAAGCACTTACTGAACCATTCAAAGTGTCACATCTCCAGTCCTCAGAAGTTTCTGATGGTTTAAAATTACGTAACAAATCCACAAGGATTTACTCAGCCAATGTGCATGAAGGGCAAAAAGCCCTGCTTGACCTCTGCAGGTAAAAATCTGAGCCAAGAAGTGACAATAACCAGGATCTTCAAACAGATCTGCAGCTGCATGCATGCTGTTCTTCCTAACGGTCACGAAGGAAAGGGTGCACAGACAAAGACACAACCTGCCACACCTCCCAGACCTCTTCGGAGGAGCCAAAATCATGAAAAGATATTTGTTAATGACAGTCCAGAACAGGACGGCTTTCCCACTTCTCTGGAGTAGTCATTCAAAAATATAAAGCACCCTCACTGTTAGAAAACTGCACCTTAATCCAAGACTGCGTTTTGCAGTAACAACATTCAGCCTCAGCACCTGCAGAGACTGCTACGGGGCGCTTTGTCAGGAAAAACCCAAGAATTCTCCACTCTGAAGCCTCTTCTCCGACGTGCAAGCAGCTATCCCCAGTAATCCCCCTGCCTCTCCTCTGATGAGCTGATTAAGCTGAGTGCCTTTAAGTGTGCTCTCGGGATTCCGCACCACGTGTCTGGCCTCCTTGAACTCTCTCTGCTACTGCGCCACTTTCTTGGCAGCAGGGTTACTAAAGCTTTGCGCGACACTTGAGCACTTTTCACCACCACACACATGCAGCCACCACCATGTTCCTCACCCCACCAGATATCACACACCCACAGACCAGTTCGGCTTACAGGTAACAGCCCTTCACGGCGGCTATCGGTAGCTCCCTGGATCACGATCAATAATCCACCAACCTGACCTTTGCCAGCAGGGATCTCGCCACCTGCAGCGCCGATAAAAGCACTAAATAGCCCTGGGCACAGAACTAATCCCTAACAGAATCTCGCTTTAAAAATACCCGCGTGCTGATGTTTTAGTACGGGCAGTGATGTGTTGGGACCTGCTGGGAAGTGCTTTAAATCTCTCCACTGTGCCCTACTACCTTAGAAAGATGGACAACAGAGAATCAACTGGCTGACAAATATAAAATGTGTCTTCTCATCAAGTAGATCCATAAATCGTATCAAGAAATAAGAAATTCACTAAAATCTCCCTCTGTAAATAAGCCGAGAACAGTTCTATTGCAATATACATCTACCTAGCAGCGCTGGTATTATCGTCCTGCACTTTGCCACTCTTCCGAAGCTGCCATTGCGTCACTTTACAGATCTGCGTTCGGGAGGCATGAGTTCAGAACCTAACCCAGGAGGCCTTGCATAACCTTTGGCTCATCAGCCACGCTCCAAGTGGCGGGAGCCAGTCTTTCAAAGCGCTTCAGAGGAAGGGAGCTCACAAAGAGGAGATGAGACACAGCAATGCTATGGTTGTGGAAGCCAGATGGCACAGTTAGACAGCTGAGTCGCTAAAAGGTTTGCCAAAATTGCCAGTGCAACCAGAAGAGTACTGACTTAGCCAAAGCTCCCTGGGAAAGGCACCTGGACGACAGGAGTGTCGGCACTGAGAAGCTAGTCCTTGGGGTGACAGGACACAAGGCCAGGCTGCACTACCCATAGGCTTCAAAGCAGAAGCAGAATTAACGGCATGGCCAGGACCCTCGCACAGTGCACGCCTCCACAACTCCTCCTTGCCCTACGTCCCTGACTCACCACAGTGATCAAAGGCCTCTGAACTTGTAGGGCAACTGGCTGTACCACATCCAAGATTGAGAACGGCCAAGAGCTGAAAAGGAAGAATTCAGCAGTGAATGACCCCAAAGCTAAAACAAAGTGACGACAGCCCCACCGCAGGAATATCCATTCCCAGTACCTGAAGCGGAGCAAGCCGGCCCGGCCATTGGTGGCAGCCTCCTCCGGGAACAGCAGCAGTGGCGGGTTTCCTCTGTGGGACGAGTACGCCTTCAGGGAATCCACCAGCTCTGCTCGGCTTCCCGTTACTCCCAGCTCCATGAATCCCCGTGACCAGCAGATGAAGCCGGGGGCACCATTCAATGCAGGCTGCAAGGAAAAACAAGAGTTAGGAAGAAATGCTGCCCTGTCCTGCCCTCGAGGCCTACTTTCCCAGATGTCAGTGGGAGACAAAGTTCCTGCTTATCAGCAAAAACGCCTCTGGGGGCTGAGCGAGCAACCTGCAGGCTAAAAGCACTAGTGGCAGAGAATACGTTCCTGCCAGGCTTCAGTAACTGCTCTGGCCCCAGCTCCCTAGGGATTTGATTTCTAATCTTCAGTTCAGACTGTACCCTGTCTGCCAGGGATACGAACCTCCCCCCTGCCCTGGGCAACAGCCATGTTTCCCCACATTCGCTCTAGTCATTCCTGACATGCTTGGCGAAGGCTACATGACTTCCAAGAGTTACTTTTCTCCAGGTAAGGCACAGATCGACTGCTGTTCAGGATATAGGACCAACCCACTCACTCCCAGCCACACTCGGAGCCTGCTGATTCAGGAACTCCACACATAAGGAATTTCACAAGAGTACAGGGAAAGTTACACAACCCCCAGGCCAGGCCAGTAACCCAAGCACCACCGCCCTGCCACGCAGCTCCCCTCAGCACTCCTCTGCAGCGCAGCCGGCACCCGACGCCGAGGGAAAACCCCACAGCCAACCCCGCTTCTGACACCACCTACTTGAATGGCCAGAAAAAGATAGAGATGCCAAGATCTGCCCACAGCCTTTCAATAAAATCAATACCCACTCTAACATTTCCTCTTCCTCCTTGCCCTGTTTTATTTTTGCATGAGACCCTGAAGTGTGACACTGACCCACAGAAAAAAAAACCTCAAAGCTTGTGCAACCCTGGGTTAATAAATAAGAACTGAAGAGGACCATGGCGACACCTAAATTCTGAAAGAGCTCTCTGTGCACTTCTCCAGGTGCTTCCAGACCCTCTGTGCTCAGCTCCAAGTTACTCACCGTATTGCATGAGGTCAGAAGGTTGATGACGTTGTGATCAAATTGTGTCACGTGGTTGGCGATATACACCCTCACGTTGACATCACGAAGCCGGGGATCACTTTGCCGCACAAATAAGCCCAGCACTGAGCACATCACACGTACAATAAATCTGGAGGGGGAAAAAAGCGGTTTCCTCAAGTCCCGGCGTCTGAGCCGTCGCTGGCTCACGTATCCAACACACAAAACAGAGACCTGGGAACCCATATAACTTGCAAAAGAACACTGGTACCAAAAGGAAACGGTATGACAGATGTCTGAGACGGGAATTGTTGGGGGGCTGCCCTGGGGGTTGCAGGCTGCCTGCAGAGCTGTAGCTTCAGCATGAAGTATAGGCCAGCGAGCCCCACGCAGAATTTCTTAGCAGGATACCCAGCTGATCCAAGTGTTTCAGATCAGTCCTTGAGCGCTCAAGAGGCAATTGCCAGCTGTGGTCTCGGCAGAGGAGGCACCTTCGTGTGTCTTGGGGACAAAAAGTCCCAAAAGCACAGCTTGCCATAAACCTCTGCATGAACCAAGCTTCCACGGCTAAGGTCCCCGCGTGGGCGAGGGCAGCCCTCCCGCCCCACACTGCCCCACAGCAGCGTCTGCACCCCACATCCCCACCCTGGGCAACAGCAGGAGCTCCGTGCCCTGGGGAGAGCCGGGCTCACGCACCGTCGCAGCACGCTGTCCGGCAGGGCGCAGCTGACCAGGAAGATGTGTACACCAATGAAGAGGCGCAAGACGAGCAGGCAGAGCCCCACGGGCGCGTAGAGCAGCAGGGCCAGAAGCAGGAACCCATCGGTTGGAAACCTGTAGGGCCAAAGAGCAGCGCTGAGCGTGGCTGGGGCACACATAGGGCAGCTGGACCCCCAGCTG